ATTGAGTTCTAAGATACAAATGTAAAACTACACCAGGAGTAATATCAAACTTTAATCAGTTGATCATATGATTGAGTTTTGCTTTTGGAGGATCTATAGCTGTTCCAACCAATGAAATTGACAATGAAGTTTAGCGCTGTGCACATCTAAAAAACTGGATAAATTTACGTAATTTCCTAGCAAAAAAGAAGTTTGATCGAAAATACTTCTGCTGTTCTGCATGGCATGAGTATGTATTACTTGTTTGCAAAATTTTATTCATTTGCTTTGATTCTGGCAGTTCTATTCCGGCCGTCCATATGCCCATAACGAGTTCACTACAAGATCTTCACATTGCATCAGGTAAAGGTCCGTGAAGAAGCTTTGTCGAAGGCAATTTGCCAACCATCATTAATAAAGGCTACATCTTCTTTCCTGACTGAGTAGTTTGGTACGAAAATACGATGCATAGTGAATGCATAGCGCAAATCCTTGAGATTTTTGCTTGTATGACGAATTGTATGCTAGGCACCTCTATCTGCCCTTTTGGAAATTTGCGTCCAGTGGCATTTATGTTTGCAGGTTTTACTAAAACTTTTTTTTAAACTGAAACTATAACTTTTTTTCCCACTAATTAGAACCTAAACTATGTGACACATCTTTTGAATACTCATTTCCACTCGCTTGTCCACAATGGCATTGCGTGTTCTGGCAGGGTGTCACTCCGCTGCGTTAGTTGAATTATTCAGAATTACGATATGGCGCCATTTGTTCGCGCATAAATGTTCTTGTTCAGGCTGCAACTGCTTTTGGACGAACCCTTAGAAAATCGTTACTCTAATTGCAAGTTTGAAAATAATCACGTCTCAACCTATCATAGATAACTAATATTTGTAAGCTTCGGGGATAGTGTTTTATTCCAGTCACTGAAAACAAGCGGGGAGCCATGTTCACCAATAAGTAAAACTTTGAAGAGTTTTAGTAATGCAATTTGGGCTTGAACCCTGGCATTTGGGAGCACATCTACGGAGGTTTTAACGAATTGCTTATGTCTTTGTCTTCTTTGACTCTATAAGTCAAAAAATTTACACATCAATGATGGTTCGAAATCTGCAACATATAGTATTTTCCGTGATATACGAGGCAAAACGTTTTGTTTAGAAGTTGCACCTTTTCATAGCAATTTGGCGGGACTTTTCTTTGAACTCTAATTTTTTGAAAAAAAATGCTTAAGAAATTTGCCATTAGAAGATTATGTAGGCAAAATCGTATTTAATTACCTAATAACAGGTTTTCAGAATCTTTCTGCTTTGAGTAGGCCTGTTGAAAAGATGTTTGCGTAACTCTATTATGCCTGAGCCACATCGAGAATGAATTGACTAGTCGAAGAAGTTGTCGAAAATGCAAAAGGCTGACAGTTCAGCATTAATATTCGATGCACACGGTGACAGATGCGCGAACTGGAGCCCGATTCGTCAGCACCGCCCCTCTTAGCCCTCCTCCAACGCGAGGATTGGGGCCTCGCGCTCTTCTGGAAACAATTTTCGGCTGACTACTGTACACCACCTCAGAATGACTTCTGAATTTGAATTTGTCGAGACGAAACCACCTTTATCTGCCATGGGACATGTAGTAGAGTCAATTGGGATCGACTCTGAAAGCCAGGTCGGTTCTTTTTCAGCTTTTTCCCCAAGCGCAAGGAGTTACGATGAGGGGGTGTTTAGGGCAAATGCCGGGTATGTTCCGGTAAAATCACCGACAGGTATATGATCAGAGTGAGTGGTACGCTCGTGTGCTTGTAGTTCAAACAGCTTTCTGCAGCTTCTTTTGTTTCAATTATTTTTGTTTCTTGAACAAATTCGAGGGTTTAGATTGACTCCAAAGTCTGCCACGAGAATTGTGCTCGTTGCTGTGCCTGCGATGTTCAGTTGCAGGATAAATGCTACGAGAAGGACGGTCAGTTATACTGCAGCAATCACTATTTCAAGTAAGTTGCTGCTTAAATCTGTTCCAATGCATATCACAACACCCTCTTCAGAGAGTGTAGCCCTTACCGATGTTCGGGTTGCAAACTCGGCATTTCTCCCACGGATATGGTTTACAAGTTGAAGGTAACTTCTGCACTGTGCTTCCTCTTATGGTATATCAGTATGAGTTATCCCATCCAGACAGGAATGGTCTTCCATGTAGACTGCCATTCATGCATTCGATGTGGACGTCGACTGTCCCCCGGTGAACAAATTTTGGTGGATGAGATTGCTCAAACTGTGGCATGCATGCAGCATTTCTATGACGGTAAGTGAGTAACATCACCTCCACCTCTTCTGACATTACTACCAATGCTATCTCCCAAACCAAATAACCCAACCGACTGCTTTTCCATCTAGCGGAAATTTACCGATCTTATCTTTGAGTACTTCAACAAAGCATTTTCACGAACCTTTGCTAATAAGGCGCTTTGCCGCTTCAATTTATCTTGTGGAGGTTTCTAGTTGATTGGTTAGGTAGTTCGATGATTTTAATATAAAGAAAAATTTGATATGCAACCTAGGAACGAACAGTGCTTCAGAAAAGGTGCCCGCTCTTATTCGTAAGTAGCTCTCTATCCACATTTTGCTGAGCCGATGTGATTAATTTGAAGGGTGCTAGTATTTACGTTTCCACTTATTAACGGACCTTAACTTTGACTCTTACTTTAGGATTACGGTAAGAATTCATACTGTTTGGCTTCTGCCATTAAGTAAAACTTCAAAATCCTATGCTATTAGTTAC